GTAAATCTTCCCGATGCGAAGCACGGGTACAGCAGCTTATTATTCTGTAAAATTTAGGTGTCTGTCTGTCTGTCATTCTGTCTGTGCAGCTGTAACGACTAAATACTAAACCAATATAGCCAAAATTAAGCAAAATGATGGTCTACATATCTAGGAACGTCATAGGCCTATTCACTTAACTGAGTTCCTTTCGGTGAGGTTTTCAAAAGTAAATACTATAGTTCAGCCGCTTAGAAGTCTTAGAAGTCGCTTAGAAGCGACCTGCGCGCTAATGCTAAACCAATGCTGGAGGAGGTCGCTTTCTAAGGCCGGTTTTATGCACCGCGACAGTCGCGTGTCGCGTGTCGCGGCGCGACTCAAGTTCTATTGAGTTAAATGGGAGCATTTATGCACCGCGACAGCGACAAACTGTCGCGCGAGCGACTCGGAGATCTCTAAATACCCGCGACAGGTTTTAGAATCGCAGCTTCAAAAAATGTGTCGCGCGCGGTTCAAGTTCTATTGGATCAAATGGGCACGTTTATGCACCGCGACAGTCGCGGCGCGACAGTAGTATTTTTCATACTCCACATGGTATATTCTCCATATATTTATATTGATTAATGTTAATAATTAGTATATAAATGAGTTCTTTACCCTTTATTTGTAATATAAATTACATCATTATATTATGTAATGACATTTTTAAGAGGGTTGACCCAATTCCAACTGCAAATTGTATGTGTTGTTTAAATAACTGGGGTTTTGTCATTAACGTGTACAACACTACAGGGTCTATATTTAAATAACTTAATAATCACTTCTACATCACAAACACAACACACAACATTGGATTGAGAACAGACTGATTTCTTTAATTCCCCCACCACCGGATGTGAGTTTACGCGACAAAAAAGTGTCGCTGTCGCGTGACATTTTGGTCAGCCGCAAGACGTGGTGCTACTCGCGACTCGCGACTGTCGCGGTGCATAAAACCAGCAGGCTGGTTTTATGCACCGCGACAGTCGCGAGTCGCGCCACGTCTTGCGGCTGACAAAAATGTCACGCGACAGCGACACTTTTTTGTCGCGTAAACTCACATCCGGTGGTGGGGGAATTAAAGAAATCAGTCTGTTCTCAATCCAATGTTGTGTGTTGTGTTTGTGATGTCGAAGTGATTATTAAGTTGTTTAAATATAGACCCTGTAGTGTTGTACACGCTAATGACAAAACCCCATTTTTTTAAACAACACATACAATTTACAGTTGGAATGGGGTCAACCCTCTTAAAAATGTCATTATATAATATAATGATGTAATTTATATTACAAATAAAGAGTAAAGAGCTCATTTATATACTAATTATTAACATTAATCAATATAAATATATGGAGAATATATCACGTGGAGTATGAAAAATACTACTGTCGCGCCGCGACTGTCGCGGTGCATAAACGTGCCCATTTGATCCAATAGAACTTGAACCGCGCGCGACACATTTTGTGAAGCTGCGATTCTAAAACCTGTCGCGGGTATTTAGAGTCGCTCCGCGGCAGTTTGTCGCTGTCGCGGTGCATAAATGCTCCCATTTAACTCAATAGAACTTGAGTCGCGCCGCGACACGCGACACGCGACTGTCGCGGTGCATAAAACCGGCCTAAGCGGCCGAACTATAATAGTTAGTCTCCATGGAAGCATGAGAAAAGTAACAATGTTTACCTTTGCTTTGACGTTTCAATATCCATCAACATTCAAAAAGTGGTATTATTATTCACGTTTTTCGTTTTTCCCTCAAACCATGTTTTATTTGAAACCTATCTAATTAACAATATAAGGGTAGGCAGTTTAGATAGATTGACTTACATTTAAAATCAATGATTGAAGATTTAATATATATTCATTCTTATAAAACACTAGAAAGTAAGAGATCAATTCCATAATTTAGTGGTTTCTGTGTTATTTTAAATTTAATTACTAACCAAAATCAACCCGCCTTAGCAGGACTAAAATTAAATACGGTATTTACTTACTATTTTATAGGGGACCAGCTGCTGTACCCGTGCTTTGCAACGGAAAGAAAATTCAGTTTCGAAGAACGGATGTCGTTCTTCCATAACATACCTTGATAGCCTAGTTAATACTATCTCTAGGTTGATGCAAAAAGGGTTATAGAACCTATTTATTTATATTAATCAACGGTATAGTTTAAGAATAAATAATTAATAATAAAGTTTAAGATTGAATAAAACCTACCACACGGTTGCGTAAAATTTTATATTTCATTTCTTTGGATTAGCTATCTGAAATGGTGAAATATGCAATTTGGCAGTTCTTTTTGTTTACTTTAAAACGTCAAAGCAAAAGTAAACATTGTGGGTGTTCTCATTGCAGCCATGGAGACCAATCAATACTTACTTTTAAAATCCTTACCTCAGAACTTTTAAAGCCAAAGGGGCAAAGCCCACGGTAGGTGTCGAAGTGTAAGTAGTCCTATTACCATTCTTGGTATGGTAGCTATATTTTTGTAACATTTTAAGCCCAGTAGGTTCAGTAGTTTTTGCGCCTTTAACATTGAAACTTGAGACAATATAGTAGGGTTATTGTTGTTTGTGTATATACACAAACAGATAGACACCACTAGATTTTTATGTAATAGTATGGATGTTGACGACCAAAGATCAAGAAAGTACAGGATTTGTTATGAAGCATTGTAGACGTGATCGTTGAGTCGGCAAATAATTATCTTGACTTAGAAATCAGCTGTTAAGTCAGTAACAAGACCTGCCAGCCTTTCTAGGTGTCAGTTCAATTTAATTTTTTAATCATGCACATATTTAACATTTTTTACTTTATTAGGATTTCCCTTGCATTTATCCGCTGGGCTGCCATCACGCAATTTGCTATGATTTTGCTAATATAAAGTTACATTGTAACTAAATGGTGATGTAACTCTCTATTTTGCAATCCCAAATGATATTTAATTCCAAGAAATTAGATTTATAAAAGATCTTTGACAATCTCACAAAAGGACATATCGATCATCCTAGTTATTACAAGTTAGAAGAAAATTAGAAGTTGATTAGACTTGTAGAAATTAGACTTGTCTTTAGACTTTTAAGATTTATTTAATTTTTTAATCAACGTAAAGTGTACATAACAATCATACCCCAAATAATATTCATATATGTTCATATATTTAATTTTTTACACTAGAACTTGATGTGTTGTTAGAATGAGTTTGTTTTAGAAATCATATCAAAACCGTCGAATGCATCATAATTATTTGGAAATTCTATAGTTTTATAATTGGGTATCATAATGCAGATATATATGTTTAAATATGAATGTATTACAGGTTACAGTTAATAGCTATCTAAAGATATAAAAATTAACTACCTACTTGAATTTGCAATATTACTTTGTCGTTTAATTTAGAACTTTGGTTTTTAATCAAACTTAAAGTTTTTTAATCCAAAGGCAACAGTAATGACGAAGGGAAAAGTAATCAACAAAACAACGATACTGTGAAAAGCAGCTGCGTCTCCTTTCATCCTAATGGGTGTAATTAATTTTGGCGGGAATCACGTTTCTCTCTTCCTCAGGGAGTTTTTCACTTTGTAATATATTGTTTTAAGATAGATATTGTAATAATGACTCCTTTTCAAGTTCATTTTCTATTTTGCATATTAATCAGCCAGTATGTTTTACTGATTCTATTTTTTTTTCAATACCATGGATTTTTCTATCAAATTAAAGCCCTACTTCTATAGTGCTGTAGATTTGAGAAGTTTGAAATAAGGGGTTTATTCTATAATACGCTGTTTGTAAGTTAATTCGTATTTACTTTCTTTAGTATTCAGTCTTTTAAACGGCTTAACATCGATTACTCTTTTATTAATCAATTATGTGAAAACAATTTGTCTACGTTTAAGCAGTGATTATATTCGCAAAAAATATTATGTCACACATTCATTTTGTAAACAAACAGTTTGGCAGACGATTAACCAACCATTATCACATTGGATTAAAGTTTTGATAATAAAATAATGATACATTTTTTTATTTACTGGATTTAACAACTAAAACCCTAGGTCTGCATGTTATGTTGAACAGACCAAGTATTGTTTGAGTGAAAATGATCTTTCAATCTTAGACTTTTGTATTATGGCTGTAAATACAATTGTTTTGTAATCCTAATATTTTACACACAGTTTAAAAATATAATTGAGAGGTAGTGTTGGTTTTACTACCATCCATAGTTGGTTAAGATGGGTAATCATTACCAAAATTAACTCTACAAAACTGCATTATTTACTTGAAGATCCATCTATACTCATAATATCCTAACTATATAGTTCTGCTAACGTTACTTCTGATATTTACATCCCTGACTCATTAATTAAATATTTTAATGTTGTAAAATGATGCATACATTTGTAGATAATATTATTTGCCTATATTTAAAGGCACAATTTCACATAAACGCATAGTTTTGGCTCTAAAAGACACCAAAAATGTTGATTAAAACAGCGAATATGATCAAATAACAACTCATCAGTTTAGACTTAGTGATCAGAAGCAATTTAATGAAAACCAGAGAATGAAGCTTTAAAATGCTTAATATTCAGAAAATTCAAGTTTTCATGTTTTTGAAGGCAGATTTATTAACAGCTTAAACAGGAAGGACTATTTATTTGTTTACATCGTGTGGCTTTTAAAAATATTGAAATCAAGATTCTTTTCCGCGAAGCAATCGAAAACAAGCTACAAACAAAAACTAGGAATTGTGTATTTTGAAGAATTATGAAGTATGTTTAACACGAGAATACACATTAGGTATTAAAAATACTTATATTTACTACGTTTACCAGTAGAAATCGCAATCAAAACATTTCAAAACGAAACTTCCACAAATAATACGTTGGCTCAAGTATTCGTGAATGTTAACTTCAAAAGGTTCTTATATAATGTTACAAACTTAACATTAACAAGACATGACTTTTGTTAAAAGTTGGACTCACTTTGAGGGAGGGGCTGGAAGCTGCGTTAAGGCTCAGAGCAACAACCACGAATGGCAGCCTCACTAGTGATAACAGTTGAGGGGTCCGGGGGGAGGGGGCAGCCCCCCTATACCCACAGGTGCTCTATATACACAAGTAACCTGCAAATGTAGTACGTCACCTGTACTTGACACATTGGAGGTGCAAAGGACCTACAAAATATTACACATGTTAAAAATAAAGATTTGGGGAAAATATTTTTTTAAGTGATCGATATTTTGGAAGTATCACAACCCCATAGGTGATACCTACACAAGTAACCTTCATATGGAGTATATTACCGTACATATAAGCTGTGAAAGTTCCAAGAAATGTATTTATTGCGCAAATAATTTACTTGAAGCAAAACGTTAGGGAACGATTTTGTAGGCGATCAAATCTGTTGAAAAGGTTACGTACTACGATCCCATGGGTGCTTTATATACAAAATTAGCCTGCATATGTAGTATATTACCGTACTGAACACATGAAAGCTTTAAGTGGTCCACGAAATGTATTTACCACGTAAAATACACGAGGTAAATAATTAAAGAACTGACAATTATTTTTGAAGAGGTCGCCTACCTCTACAACTACATACATATTAAACAAATATAAAGACAGCTATACAAATGTCAAAATTAAAAACGTGCAGTAAAAATGTATGCTATGCGGCTTATAAGGGCAGTACTAAGTACCATAGCTTATGAACTGTAATGAGAAGAATTGAACTGTTTGATCTACCAGAATAGATGAACCAATGAAGCATTCATTGACGATCTTTGCAAAAATTTTACAAGGATCTAAACTTAAGTGTTTTCTTTTAAAGCTTTTTTTGTGATATGGGGATACTACGCAAATAACTTTTTTACAGGGTGAACCTCTGGTTTTATACTATCTAACACACCCCTTTTTTATATAACTTTTATTATTCAAATTAATAGTCCTGTGACAGTCGGCATCAGGGTCCATAAACGACACTTGGGGACAACCCATCAATCTTCAGATACAAGTACTATAACTAGGCGTGCGGTCTCAGGTCCGCCAATTGAGCGGAGTGAACCAAAAAGTTAACAAAAATCTTTTGGTTCAATTAAAATTGGAATAAAACAATAGAAAACAACATAAAAACTTCAACGATCAATACAATATTGCATCATACGAATAGATCACCTAACGTCCATTTACTATTTGTTTATGCCTGGATCTCTCCCTATCAAAAATGTCTCAGTTACCAATTCCTTGATTGTTCTTGTTCTTACTCGTGAAAACGCTAAATAAAGTAATCCGAAAAGAAATTTAGATTTTTCCAGTTCAACCACAGCCTTATCTTAAGTTCATCCTTGACTGTAATGTACCTAAATTACACAGGCAAGCTTTAGTGGGGATTTCCTATGAGAAAAATTTTCTCCGTTCAATTTAAAGAAGCAGTTAGTTATAATTTTTAAGAAAATGTAACAGGCCATTGGCAATCATTCCAAAGTATCAAATGACAAACTTTTTAAGTAAATAGTTGTTTTACGGTATTTGCACTATTCTACCAATTAGCAGATGTCATGCTGTTTATGGTAGTAGCACACGGTACAGGTACATTAGCATGTTCTTATTATACACCATAATAAAATTCTTTATTTGCAATGATACGTAGGCTATATTATTTTTTTAATTTGTTTCTTTTAACATTATAGCTCATAAATATTGAGGCAAAAATGAATGAAAAAATTCATGAAATATTTTTAGACATACGTCTTACACACACCATTAAAATAACATACAGTGTGTAAATTGTATAAGTAAATTGTGTAAGTATTGAAACAAATCTGTATTTTTAAAACCAAAATAGATAGAAATATTCTGTTTGGGGCAATAATTGTTAAAGAAAATTACACAACTTTTTACATCAAAAATATTTTTTTAACTATTAGTAAGTTACTTTCTAACAGGGAAGGGGGTGGGAATTTTTTTTTTTTTTAATAACCACCCCATATTGAGTAACACCTCATTTTGAAAGGTTTGTCAAAAGAAATACAATGACGCAAACCCGAGGTAGATATTTCATCCCTAGCCTAAATGGCGGGCATTCCAAAATTTGATTTATGTGATAAAGCACCCTTTTTGGAATACCTGCCATTTTGGTTAGGGGTGAGATATTCACCTCTGGTTTGCGTCATTGTATTTCTTTTGACGACCCCTTCAAAATGGGAGGTCACTAAATAGGGGTTGCTATTTGAAAAAATAAGTCACCTCATACCCCCTACCCTGTTAGAGCGGTTAAACAATATTTTTGATGTAAAAAGTTGCGGAATCTTCGTTAACAATTAATTATTACTACAAACATAATATTTCTACCTATTTTGGTTTTAAAAATACTGATTTGTTTCAATACTTAATTTACACACTGTATGTAGATATGTTATCCTTATTGATCACCAAAACTATTGCATGTCATATGGTGATTATATTTCAAGTTTAGATCACACATATACTCATCAACAGGTTTCCAGAAGGATCAGAATTATTCCACCGTTCAAATTCAATGGTAAAACCGTATGTTTCTAATAGCCTATCAAAATGGACATTGATTTAACAATGTGCACAATTAGTTAAACAATTGCTAATTGAAATTGCGTATTTAACTCCCATTTACATGATTTAACAACCTCAACAACTTTGGTAACAAAATATTTATTTGTTTTAGTCGACATCGCCACACTTAACTATTTCCATATTAAACACGCATCTACAATGGGTTCAGATTTTGATTTTACAACAGAAACATGAAGTCTACGTGCGCTGCACTGTCTAAAGTCAATAATAACACCTCATGTTAATAATAGATAACTAGTGTACCAGTTGCTCGAATTCGAGCAATTGCATTACAGGCGACTCAAAGCTTATGGAAATACTCACAATCTACAAAACAGTTAGATATAATCAAAATCTTTTGTAAATATCTTATCTTTTTTCAAAAAGCTGATATTGTTTTTTTAGTGTTTTCTACAAATTTTTCCTTCTCATAGCCGCATTAGGTTGTCTATGATAACGATTATAAATGAAAAAAAAAACATTATTTCTATTTCTTCTACTTGGTTGTGTTCTATGACTTTTTCTATGTTTCCATTGTTTGCAAATCGGTTATTTCAATGATTGCTCAAGAAATGTAGAACAGTGTTAATTCAGTTTTATTTTTAGCCCATATCACATTGTCCAGGATTTCTCACTCTTTTCCATTCTAATAATTACACCAACCCAAGTTTCGTCTACAGATGCAATATGCCAACGAATATCACCTACGTACAATCTCCAAGAAGTGGTAAAAAGGCAGAAACCAACCCATACAATAGATATAAGTTAAAAAGAAATAATTTTAAGAGTTACTGTGATAATAGGATTTTCCACTGATTTGGTAATAGAACATTATATTGCAAAACATGACACGATGCAAAAGAAAATCCATTTTAAAATCAGAAAAACCCATTGCAAATACTGTACTTCATTTTGACAAATTCAATAAATCACAATTTAAATATTAACAGCTGTTTCATTAAAAAGTAGTGTAGAATCATGCATATGTTCGTAATGTAAACAAATCTGAAGAGGCAACTTTAAAGGCTTCTGGGGCAGAGCTCCAAGGGAATTGACCTCGTTCCTCTTTTGATGGCTCATCTACAGACCAAGACCTTTCTTTAGAGACCCCTACCAAGTTTCTACGCCCAGCCGTTCCCTCAAATTAACTGTGACAAAACCCCCGTTTTCCTCCATAAGAATAACATGGGATGGGAATTTAAAGGCCACTGGGGCAGATCCCCAAGGGAATTCACCATGTTTCTCTTTTGATGGCTCATCTACAGACAAAGACCTTTCTTTAGACACCTCTACCGAGTTTCTACACCCAGCCGTTCTCTCAAAATAGCTGTGACATAGAAAAACAGTTTCAAATTAATATATAGATAGCCAGCAATACATTTTGATTGCATAATTGCTATTTAGTTAAAATACTGATTCAAAACTCTTGTTATACCTAATTCCTATTTATACAGGTTGTTTCCAAATTGTCTCGACATATTTTCTAGACTTGTTCCTTGGACAAAGACAAACATAAAATGCCATATAAGTATGGGTCTAAAACGCCTAGATTTCTGTTTGTCGGTCGGTTTGTAATTTTTAAGAATTATTTTATATCTTGGGCATTTTTCAAGGTAGAAATTTCAAAAATTTGTATAAATTTGTATTTTAGTAGGTAAAAATAGCTTACAAGTTTCGGTCCAATATATCAAGCCGTTTCAATATGGCGGCCATTTAAAATCTTTAATGCCACATTTCATGAAAACCATAAATATTAAGAAAATATTTTCTCCAATTAAAAAGATAGATAATGAAAATCCAAATCAAATAAGACCTTGTTTGTTAAAATCGGATGACAAACACCCAGTTTTTTTTCATCCGGATACGCAACTTTATAGGACTTCCATTGTTTATTGTTTGTTATTTAACATAGCAGTAATGGTAGTCCTGAGAATTTCCTGAAAAGTTCCTGATAATTCCTGAGTGATTTATTAAGTGATTCTGATGAACAAGAAGAACTGTGTCAATAACAAGAATTAAAATATCATAAAATGATTTAACACTTATTTTTGCCTAGCCATCAGACTAGTGCTAGTATCATGGTTATCAAGCGTGATTTATTATTTAGTGTAGTTAAAAAAAAATCCTTAGCATAGTGGCCGTCTTCAAGAACAGTAACGAAATATAAAGTAGACATATTTCTTTAAAATTTCCTTTGTAGGAAATCGTTTTGATGGGTCTCAAGTTAAAATAAAAATCAGTGACTATTGATTAAATAAAACCTTCACTTTTTTAACTGTCACGTCCAAACTTATTTTCGATTTACTTTTCTTGCCCCAACAAATATTCAACTTTTCTGTTAGTGTTTGCTAATTAGTGCATTAAACTACAAGTTTTAACAACATCAATAGTATCCAAATGAATTAGAGGGTTCTTAAGAATTTTATTTAATTGGGTTTAACACGATAAATATTAATTCATATGTTTCTGTGTATTATA